AAAGAAGAAGAAGAAGGAGGAGAAGAAGAAGAAAAAGAAGAAGAAGAATCTACATCCGGTTCAAGTCAGGTTCATTTTTTTTCGCAACTTGTGTAGTCTCGAGCATATATGTGTAGAATATATCACAGTCTTCGGGTTTATATTAATCGTTTAATTGGCATTTTGTGAGCTTACCAAGTAGGGTCATTCTCAGCTTGCCCCATACCTTCAACTTCCACTTCACAGAGACCTGGTTCCAGTTGGTTTGGATCTTAAAATAAGCTAACGGTAGCGTTAGCAGAGCAGCTAAAGGGATGGCGGAGGTTCCCGGAACATCCAGTGAGACGATAACGGAGACTGTTCAGACAAATACACCGCCACCTCCACAGCAGGTAAATGCTTAAAAACGGGACCAAAGGCTGTTTTGATGGGTAATTGATTTGTAATGTACCTAACCACCCACTACTGCTAACAAGGCCCGTGTTCATGTTAGAACGTGAAAAAAAGAATCCATTAACTCGCCGCTCTTTATTAATTTACGAAGCCTAATGCTGCCGTTATTATTTAGTCCTAATTACTAAACGCTAGATGCGTGTTAAAACCGGTGACCATAAATTAAGGTTAGTATGCAAGTTAGTGGGCATGGGCAGCTGGAAAGGTTCATGCGGTTCTGTGGATGTGTTCAGACGGATTTCATGACTGCCCTGGTCATGATCTAAAATTCTGGTACTGATACAATATTGTCCAATGGTATCGGTATCCAGCTAGCGATACCTCAGTCTACACGCCTTTCAGCCGAACCGCCAGTAAGGGGAGGCCTATAAGCACTGTTGTTGCTAACCTAACGAAATATGACCTTTTACTATTGGTCAGCTAATAAAAATAGGTTCTTTCTCATTGTTGCTCTTTATTAATATATTTTCAATATCACTGTCTGATAGTCTATTCACAACATAAGATTACACAGGTGTATTAAGATCACAGATAAATTATAGCACAGATTGATCTAGTCAGCTAGAAGGAAGTGTTATATATTACCAAGTAATGAATGTTTTAGAGTATTTTTTGCTAATCTATTTAAAATTGCATTGACACTTATGTAAGTTTAAAAAACTAGTGACTATTCCTTATCAAAGTAATATTTTGATTAAAATATTATTTCTAGTTTGAATTTGTTGCCTGATTTTAAAAATTAGTACTGGAGTAACTGGAGATTAATGTGGAAGTTTATCCTGTTTACAGGAAGGACGAAGTTTGACAATCAAGCTGAGGAAGAGGAAGACTGAGAAGAAGGTGGAGTGGTCCAGTGACACAGTTGACAATGAGCACCTGGGAAGACGATCGTCTAAGTGTGAGTTTAAATAGCCTATGGGAAACAGCAAAGTGTTATTTGGCAGAAATGAAGGATTTGATGGCCTATTAATAGATTAACATATTTCCATGTACAGACTTAATATTTTATTAGATTTATTTTTGTTACATCTAGGAAATATTTAAATTACATATATCAAACTCATGTATATATTTTTTAAATAAATTTTATATCACTTATGGTTAAATTTGTATTTGCTTATAAATAACACTTTGGATGGAGTAGATAGACAACAAATAAGTAATTTCACAGTGGGGATCAATAAAGTATATTCTGATTCTGTTATAGGAGAATAAAATAAAAGAGAGCAGTGTTAATTTTGACAGCAAATGTTTTAGTTTTAGTCTTTTGACTAAATGCAAGTTAGTTTTAGTCATAATTTAGCCAACAGAATTGTTTTAGTCTTAGTCTAGTTTTGGCAAAATAATGAAATTTTAGTTGACCAATCCTATTGTCAATTTAGTCAACAGCATTATATATAAATTAAATTTTTTTTTGATGAATTCACTGGAATTAACACAAAATTAATCAAGTTTTTAATAAGTTATACCTTAACGTTATTGTGTGAATATACAAAAAGAGATTTAACTCTTTTTTTTATTTTATTTTCCTGGCTTTGCTTTCAACAATAACTCAATATTTCATATATCACCTCATAACAGTCTCAGGAGATGATTGTGGAAGAACTGTCATTCTGATGCTGAGGTCTTCTGAGGTCTGTGTGTCTGCAGTGTTTCTGTCCTAATCCATGGTGTCCATCAACCAGTCCACTAAAACACTCGACGACTACACCTATCACAATAACAAATTTTGGTGGATGATGCATTGTCCCAGAAGTTATTGTGATAAATGATAAGATTGTTGTTTTGAGACAATTTTCAGGTAATATAGTGATAATGGCATAGTAATGTAAGAACATATTCTTGAAGATCAATAAACTTTAATCCGAATGAGCATTTAACATTGCAATGGGAAGACATTAAGATATCCAACATAAACAAAACAACAGAATTGGCAAATAAATTCACTTGTGAAGACTCTGTAACAAAATTGTCCTTTAAAAAAGGGGCCAGTTAAGCCAGAATGTAATGCATGTATATAAGCTAAAGAACTAATGTTATAGCGCAACCAAGCAAACTTTTCGCTTGAAATTAGCACCTATATACACCAGGATATGGAACCTCATAGCGTACAATAAATTTATCACAAATCAGTTGTCTGGTTGCATTTTATGCACATCAATAATAACTTGCCTTTGAAAAAATATCTGTATGATGAGCCTTCAGGTGCCATATAAGATACTTACAGTTTTGTCCACCAATTTTAAATACACATGTACTGCTGTCTCCCTGGACATTTCAATTCTTCTTTTATACCCTACTCATAATAAGTCCATAGATGCCCTTTGCATCCACCGAGCCTCTCTGTGTAACGTGGAATGTCTGGTCCATTCATGATTAACGTCATTCAGGTGGTGGGAGTGATCATACAGGATGGAGCGGCATTACTGATAAGCTTTAGCTTTTGACTAACAGATTTCAAGCTCAAGAGGCAGAAATGTGACCCCGCCTCTCGCCCATTGACCGCTGGAGATGGGCACCAGCACCCCTCACCACCCCACTGGGGAGAGTCTTGTATGATAGTGGTTGAACTGTATCATAAGCAGTATCAGTGTCTCCATTGATATATATACTTCACTCCAGTTTTGTGCTGCTTACTCTGCTTTAAAAGCAGCAACATGTTCAGATGTTCTATATCAGATGAGTTTTAAGATTTTTTGTTTTGTAAAAAAAAAAAAAAAAAAAAAACTGTGGAGAAACTGCAAAAACAGGCAAATGGTTAGTGATGTCACTTATAAGACCAGAGATTGTATCAAAATCAACCGTATTTACAAATATTTCAACAATTTAAGTAGCAGTATTATTCTGCTTGGTATCATAATCAGGGGTGGAAGTAGCACACGCCACTGGCCAAATGCGGGTAAAAGTTTGAAGTTGTGTGTGAATTGGAGCAACGCACCCGCCACTGTGGCGGGTTTACAATTTGAACAGAAAAAAAACAAAAACTGTATTCAGTTAGAACTTCTGTCCAGGGGAGGACTGACCATCTGGACACGGACTCATGCATTTACAACTTTGACACAGATGTGAGCTGTTCTACAGGAAGAACTATTTTATTTATGGTATTAAGCAACACATCTGAGTTGATTTTGTTTGAGGATGTAAGGTTAGAATAAGAAGCCATGCTGGAGGGTTTTTTTATGTCATCTCCCTTAAAGACGTTCTAGATTTGTTCAAATGAAACCTTCTAAATTTTGACATTCATCTAAGGATGGTTACTCTTCCAATGAGCCTAGTTCTGCTGAGCAGGCACCACTAAATCTAACATGGAGAAAATGTAGGATTTTGGATTATAGCTGTGAGCTAAGTTTCTGCCGAATGATGCAAAACAAATCACTTGCTGAGTGAGAAATAATCTGTCTTTCTGACTTAATTAAATTGGACACTACATAAAAATGTAGTTTTTGAATAAATATTTAAATGTTTTGTGAATGGCTCGTATATAAATATACTGAACATGTAAGTAGATGTTTAGTCCTAAAGAAAATACCATATCCATTGAGGGACACCAGAAACATGTTGCTCAAATGTGATGGTTATGAACAGTGGAGCTACTTTCCAAGTGACGTCATTAATGTGGACGATAAAATCACCTACAATTAAACTTCTTTCATTTAGTAAATTATAAGAAAGAAAAGGCCTGGCTGGACCAGGGCGTGAATAAAATCATTAACTTCTGGCTCGTTATATTCTCTTATGCTCCCGGATTCAATGATTCCATGTGTGGAAACAAAAGCCACACAGAGATGATAGTCAGTGTTCCACGTCATACATTTTCAAAGTTTATTCTAACATTTAAAAGTATAAAATC